TCTCCAGAGCGTTGCTCTGGAGACGAGAGCACCGTTTTCACCCCCCTTCCTCCATTCCAGTTCATCACAAACGGGCATGCTTGCAGCACAGACATGACACTGTTAGACAGAAGAAAAAGCCTGTCTATATTTCAAAATTTCAATATAGGCAGAGTTTTTCTAAGAAACAGGGGTATGGGATTTACCTAATTTCTTTTAACGCCTTCATTTCTATAATGAGAAACAATTTTCTATGAAGCTACTGTGTTGTTCCTTCATGGTTAACCTGTGCATGCCAAAGTTCTGTCCTCTTAACCATCTTTTTGGTCAAGAAGTTAAAAAAATTCTCTCACCTGCTTTCAAAGCACAATAATTAAAAATTGCCTAATTTTCTTATGTAATTGCCTATTTCATCTTTTTTCATTAACTAATCAGTTTAATATTTGTTTATGTAACGAAATAGCATCTCAAACAACTTTCTTTGATCACTGTATTTCAATTTGCCACTGTACTTGGTTGATTATGAAGAATCACACTAGAATAAGCTTTTTTCCCCATGTCCAATGAAGACGCCACGATAATTTCAACCCATTTGATTTTATAGGCTGAGGCCTAGAACTATAAATTTATCAAAGCAATATTTTTCAGAGTTTTCCTAAAGAAATACCAGTGTTCAAAATACAAAAAGGATTAACAAATCATTTTGACTCCATAGCTCAAATAGAGAGAAATGTTAAATGACTATTATCAGTGCAACCCAATGCATATTACCTGGAAGTAAGCATTTATTACAGTGTGATTTACTTCTCAATAAATATGCTTGAGATCACACTTTAACGTTCCATGAACAACATCTAACAGTTTACTACAGCAAGCAGCATTATACCTTCTGTTACTGTAATACTTTTTTTAAAAAAAAACACAGTAACACACTCACACAATCATAATGTCAATTTCACCAAACAACTGAATTGTCATTTTCTCTTGCCTGCTTTGGATAGGCAGTGTAAAACTGACAAACCCACACAAAAATAATTTCTAAAGCCTGGATCCAAAAAATAGCACCTATGTTTGCCAAAGTGCTCAGTGGCACTCAGTGGCCCACCAGACTCCATGCTTCATCTAAAGTTGTGTTTCCAATGGAGGCGAATATGTGTAGCTTGGGGTTGAACTGTGGAGTCCTTGGGGTTCTCTGAGCTTGGTTTTTTTCCTCCAAACATTTCATTACCCGGCTAGGTAACATCTTCAGAGCTGGAATGGGCTGGGGTTTGCTCTCTGTTTATATACTCTTGCATGCCTTGCTCCTCACCAGCAATTATCACCAAGATAAGCAGAGGTTACCACAGGGCACACAAGCAAGCAGCAAACAATTCTTGCATGCCTTGCTCCTCACCAGCAATTATCACCAAGATAAGCAGAGGTTACCACAGGGCACACAAGCAAGCAGCAAACAATTCTTGCATGCCTTGCTCCTCACCAGCAATTATCACCAAGATAAGCAGAGGTTACCACAGGGCACACAAGCAAGCAGCAAACAATTCTTGCATGCCTTGCTCCTCACCAGCAATTATCACCAAGATAAGCAGAGGTTACCACAGGGCACACAAGCAAGCAGCAAACAATACCCTAATCAAGGAACTACCAGAGGAACAAAACAAAACCCCCACCAACACTGGCAGGGCATGCAAGAGTATATAAACAAAGAGCAAACCCCAGCCCATTCCAGCACTGAAGATGTTACCTAGCCGGGTAATGAAACGTTTGCAGGAAAAGCTCAGAGAACCCCAAGGACTCCACAGTTGTGTTTAAATACCCTTTTAACTAAAACAAAATTAAGTGAGAAGTTAGTCTATTGCAAAACAAAGGTCCCTCTTAAGGCATCATCTTTACTACCAAGAAAGATTAACATTACCTGAAGACAGAGATATTGCAGCAGGAACAGCCTCACTACTTTGTTTTCTGATACCTGAATATTGTGTAACTTACTTCTGTGGCAGCCATGGGACTGTCACATTTCCACTGCCCCGAAAATGTTATGGACCCCTACTATTTGTTTGTTTGCTTGTTTTTAATTTTATGCCATTTATCTACTACCTAAATCCCCATGAATCTTTTACTGTTTACAGAGATTAAAATAGCAGTAAGAATTTTAAAAATACATTTTAAAATGTCAGTAACAAAAATCTAACAAATAATATCAAATTCTAAGAAAAATATACTATGCAAACTTAACTGGAGCTAAATACTTTCAGTTCCTGGGAAAAAGAGGAAACTATGGGACAATCACTGCATGATTGTATTAATTAACTTCCATAAGAAAAAAAGCTAATATCTAGGGAGACAAGGCTGCATTTGATAGAAAGGAGAAAAAAATGCTGGAAAAAAAGGAAACGTGGCTTCTTTCCTAATGAACAAGGTTTCCTACTGAGTGGCTAAGCAGCTGAGAGAATTCCCAATCAGGAGCGCAGTACCTCCATCCTCCAGGGTTCTCCCTTTCCCGGACTTTGCAGATTCATGCCAGAACAAACAAGAGAAAGGAAAAGGAGAATTTGGAGCCAACCAGCTTATTAATCCAGTTCCAGCGAAACAGGTGACAGGCCTTTCTCCTCTTCAACTTACACTGCGTTTTTTTTTTTTTTTTTTTGCATTCAAGTCAGCCTTGACTCCCAGCAACTGCTTGGACAGGTCACTGCAGTTTTCTTGGCAAGATTTTGGAAGTGGTTGCCACTGTCTGCTTTTTCCTAGGGCTGAGAAAGAGAGACTGGCCCAGAGTCACCCAGCCAGCTTTGTGTCTAAGGCAGGACTAGAACTCAGTCTGTTTCTAGCCTGGTGCTTTTAACTACTACACCAAACTGGCTCTCTTTACATTGCTACAGGATACTTGGTTTTCTTTCCCTAGTTACAAACAACAAGTTAGAAGAATATTCCAAATGTTTAGCTAACAGCAAGATGTTAACACGCAAAAGAAAAAGTTAGCTTCTTAGATGTATGTTCTCATTTTTGTCTGGAATTTCTCTGGCTCTCACTCCCCAAATCAATTTATGTGCCTTAATGCACCTGTTCAATCTGCACTGAACTGGAATCTTTCAATTAATTTTCCAGAATTTCCCAGTTTCCTAAGAAGGAGAGCACAGCTCACTGTTCAATTCACTCTAAATTTATTTATTTATTTATTTTATTGGATTTCTCCACCTCCCATAGAAAATATTTTTCTAGGCGTCTTTCTGCAAGGCTACAAGCTTTAGACCTATTAAAATGCAAAAAAGACAAGCAAATTAAGTTGTGTGACTGGCCCAACAGAAAATCCTGGGCAACATATGCCAAGCTGTAGAAAGAAATGTTTTATTCATTGACCTTGGCGCACAGCTTGATATACAACCTGACTCAACCATGAAAAGTTTAAAATAAGACTTTCTTAATTACAGGTATATCTCCTGAAGTTTAAAGAGATGACAAAAGCTCACAGTTAAATCAACCACAATCCGCCCAGCACTTTCGCTAACAACTGGACAGATTCCAAATAGACAGCTGTTACCACTTCCAATAAACAAGGATTGTACAATTATTCTATCTACTCTGCTTTTTTCCCCTTTTCTGCTAAGTAGTAGTAGAAAAACAAAGTATTCACAAACAAAAAAACACTATTTAAACCCCTTGAAATTCCATTTAAATTGAATTAAAATTGAAGGTGATTTATGACATAATATCATAGTCAGAAAGTATCCAGCTCTCATTATCACTGTCTATTGTGTTCTCAAATAATTTCTCAACTTCCAAAACAAGTTATTCATAGTGAAATATCAATATTTACAAAAATGCTGGATAGCAACACTGATCCAAATTGTTCTTGGGAACGCAGATTGCACAAACAGGCAGACCTATTTCCCATCTCTTTTGCAGCAGCAAGACAAGACAGTACCTATTCACTCCTCTATCTCAAAGCTTCGCCCCATCACTTTCCCTGGGACCAGCCCTGCCTCGGTTTCTTCTGCCATCAAGGTCGGCAACGCTTAAGCCTTCCTCCCGGCAAAAGAAGTGGGTCATCTCTGCACCGTCACTGTACTATGCATCCACAAACGCTTAACAAAGATAGACAAGGCTTATCTCACTCGCCTCTCCACCCGACCCCCTATTATGATCCTTATTCATTCAATCCACCCATCTCTCTTTTTCATGGTCAGAGATAAGAGGCACCTGCTGGGACCCGGATATACGAGCGGAGGAGGTTGGTCGGTCTCTTCCCCAGATGGGACCCGGATGCTCTGCCGGACTAAGAAATCTGGGTCTAAAACGCCCCAGCCCTGCATAGTCCAGATGTGTCATCCTTATCCACCCCCCACCCCCCGCATTTCCTACCCGCGTTTGACGCGCTGCAAGTCAAGACCCCTACCTGGCAGCTTCAGCGCCCGTGACAGCACCGTAGCCATGCTGGCGATAGAAGACGCGCATGCGCTCAGCTCTTCTGCCTCCTGGGAAGTGTAGTTTTGCGGACAGCCGGAGTTAAGGTGTTAATGATCTTTAGTGTGTTTGCACGAAAATTACGCAGATGGGAACACAGCCGACAGTCTGCGTTTGTAATTTGCTTTGCAACTGTATATATTTTACAGCTGAGAGCGCCTTAAGGGGTCAGCGTAAGATATTTTGTTGTTCTACGTAGCTGGATCGTATGATATGATTCAAGTGATCCGCTTCAGCTTACCCTAAAATGCTGGGTACCAATTCTTTGCAGCATCCTTTCCAGCTCGGGCACTAAAGAGATGTGGCCAAACTTTGCTAATATTGGAAGTGGGACTCTGAAAGATAATTAATATTCAGTTGGTGCATAGTTTTGCACCAGGACTCCCACTC